AGCGGAGTAAAGTTGCAGTCCACGGGGAGATTTAGTTCCTCGGGAGTGCTCGTGCTCATCTGTTTGTGTTCCACTAGAGACATTAATACAAGTGGTTATTTTTCCAAAATAAACCCTAACACAGTGCTTGATGAAGTTAAATGGATTTAATAGGACATCACCGTGAAGGTTTACAATAATAATAAAAATATAAAAGTACCTAAATATATCTCAACAGGGTGGTGAGTATTAGCACTAGAAAGCCCACTGGTAGACCTGTGGGTACAAAATAAGTATGGCAAGGTAAATCATATGAAATGACATAAATATTACCAAATAGTTGTCACAAATAACAATTAGGGATACTATCTGTTTATTGACAAATAATGTAACTTTATGAAATGTCTTAATGCACAAATGCCAAAACTGGCATGACTGTGCAAAATAGAAATACTCAAGTAAATATCTCAAAAAGTATTCAAAATACAAAAATAGTATTTACACTAGGTTGAAGCTAAAGTTGCTTTTTAAGATAAACAAAAAAACAAAATATTGAAAAATCTCTCATTAGATCCCTTTTCCTGTGACCTGGCTCAAATATAATGTTGAAATATTCAGAAAGGGACAAAAAGTGGATAAAATGATGAGATATTCTTACCAGGTCCTGGCTGTTTGAAAGTTGAGGCTAATACTGAAGAAAATATGTGAAGTGTGAATGGAAAGTTAAGCTCCCAGCAGAGTTTAATTCGCCTATAGAAACTGTAAAATGAAATATTTAGCCCTCCATAACAGGGTTATTAAAAACATTTTGAAGAAAGTTGAAGAAAGGAGTCTTGTTTTTTCTCTATATTTGCAATAGAACAACCATTCTTATTAAAATAGTCATGCTTTATTCTGGAGACAATTTCCAGCATGGAAAAATATATTTTAAAGAAATTCCTAATTTTATCATTTCAATAAGCTTTTTTTCAACCATTAATGCCATTGCCGGGGTCCACCTTAAAAGGTGCCAAGTGAAAAAATTGTGAGTTCATTGCCAACTTATTATACTTTATTATATTAGAAAATAGCCACAATCTAGAATAGTCTAGAATACAGATTTCTCATCTTCGATCTGAAAGGTCAATCCCAAAAAAGGTTGTTTTGTTAGTTGATCTGATTAGAGGCAGCTAATGTTGATGCTTAAATAGTTCATGAAAAAGTTTGAATAATCCATGAATGTGTGCATTGAATATTCAAGTTTAACTTCATGAATAGTTCATGAAAATAGCTTTGATCCATTATTCAAGAATTTACAATATATGATGAATGCACAATTCTTGAAAAGTTTAATCATTATGAACTTTTTAAGAACAAAGATGGCCGTCAAAAAATGTGCCATTTTCTCACCCCTCCCCCTGAGATAGTAATTACCAGGTAGACTACATATGATCTTACATATATGTATAGAACTGCCATCTATTTATGAATATAAAGTTTAAATACCTAACGTGAACAAAATATTAATGAGATTCTGATAGTCAGGTTCAGAGAATACTGCTGCCATCTTTGAATAAACTCTAAATTATCAATGATACAATTATAATTTATTGTGATAACGAACACCTCCCAATCTGAATGCTTTTTACTGGTCGTGGTAGCATTTTGATTAGACAGATTTTACTGTATAAGTAATACTAATACTGGAATTCAAAAAAAATCTGAAGGCCTAGTCAATTTAAATTTGGGAAATGTTGTCAGCTATTTGAAATGAAGACCAACTTTGTAAAAAGTCTTCTTCTTTCTGAAAGACCCTTGACCCAAAACTGCCTCACTTTATCCATCTGGGCCTCCGCTGTTCTATTCATATTTTCTGCGATCCCAGTTGACAGAGTTGTATCAGATCTAGAAGGTGTTATTTCATGTGTGAGAAATGCACTATGTATATATCTTATTTTTTATTGTTTTTTTATTACTACTTGTGTGCGCTTACAATGGAATCTCCTGGCTCTGGAATTGAATAGTTCTTGAGGTTCTACTTGAGGTCAATATATTTCATGGGAGATGCCATCTACTGCATGTCTAGTTTAGTTTCCTATCAGACATTTGTCTGTTGATGCCACCCCTTAGTAGCTATGTAAAAACTATATAAAATTTTTCTTGCAGATACCAGGCTGACAGGTGCCCTAAGCTTATAATAGCTGAGTCATAATCAGGATTGAATTTCCAATAAGGTAATTACCTAGTATGAAGGATTTTGTGTTGTTAGCAGAATTTATTTAACTTGGATGACGTATTTCCAATGAAGAAATGTTATTCTTACCCTGGATCCATGACTGATACCTTTCTGATCTGCCACTTGGAAACATCTCAACAATCGTGTATGCAATCGTGTCATATCTTGCGACCCCCTAGGTGTGGGGGTGATTTGAAAAATCAACCCTAGGCTACATTTATTGGGGTAGCCTAATACCTAGCCTAACCATGTCAAAAAAGGGTTTATGCTGGACTTGTACGACCAGTTTTTAAAATTGTAAATGCTGCACCCTTACAAACCTGTGTTAAATGTTCCATTAATAATTTCGAAGTAAACCTTGGTGTCATGATGTTTAATAAAGTTCTGTAAGAAATTGCCATGGCATCTTTGATACATGGAAATACACTTGCTCCCTTCTAGTGGTCATCTAATGCCATCAAAATTATATCTTAACAGCTTTTTATAAATTGCTTCAATCTAATTGAACTCCCTTTTCTGCGTCAGATATGGCATAACGCTCCTTCTTTAAAAAAGGTTGTCTTTGCTAGAATTTCATCTTTCTGCGTCCTCACTTAACTTTTTTCTTGCTTTTTCACCATTGCTTCTTTCTTTTTTCATAAAGGTTGCCATGCTTAATTGCAGGTAAGTGAGACATGTCAGGATAACCATGTAAAATGTTTGAAACCATCTCATTATGTCGAGTTGAAGATGGTTGACGGCCAAACAAATCATCAGTTTTTAAGCAAATTTCTTCAACCTGGAGTTTTTGACAGACACAATATTTTTGGAATATATATTTTCCAATAGGCCTTTAGTTGCTCCAGTCATCAGTTCGTGTCTTAAGATTACCTCATCTGTAATATTTTCCTTTGACTGTTTTAGATTATCTAAAATGAAAGTAAACACATTGTGAAGCAACAAGTACCTCTTTAGGCTTCTAGACATTTTGCTCCTGGACGTTTCACCCCTTAGACTGTTCATCCCTTAGACGTTTCACCGCCTGGACATTTCACCCCTCGGACATTTCATCCCCTGGACATTTCATCCCCTGGACATTTCTCCCCCTAGACAATTCATCCCCTGGATACTTCACCCCCTAGATGTTTCACCCCTTAGACATTTCACCCCTTAGACATTACACCCCTTAGACGTTTCACCCCCTAGACAGTTTAGCCTAAATAATTTACTCCTACATATTTCATTCAAGTATTTCTCTTTGTTAAAACTGAATACCCTATGTGTAAATGGCAAAGATTATAGTAATTATTTCCTATTGACACATTTACTCAGTAACTTAAGTGAATTTAAGACGATTTCATGTCATAGGGTTAAGCGTGGGCTTAATTAATTAATATCAGAATTTAATTACCAAGTGTTCCAAATAGCATAATCAAATACTGTACACTGCGTGAAAGGTACCTTAATGGGCAGTTCAATCCAAACTCATTCCTAATTCATTCTGCATATATGTTAACGAATGTATATTTATGGGTTGCCGCTCATTCACCAATGCGTTGTCGTGTCACTACATATATAATGCATAGGCACATTTTTATGTGATGTAAATGAATGGTATTATTCCCACTCATTTAATGACCATTCGAAGAGCATTACTAAAGCATTGCAACACATACGCTAATGTTCAACTGCTATCCATGCACATTTACAGTCCATTCGCCTCCAGTCAAGCACTTGTTCAATCAAGTGGATAGGACTTTTATGGGTGTTAAATGTTTCTTACACATTAGTCGATGTTACCATGCAATTATTGCTCATTTAAGACTCAATATGCCAGGACTGTGACATGTGTGCAGTCAACCGGATAGGACTTTTATGGGTGTTAAATGTTTCACTTAACCACTATCACATTGAACTCACATTTATGGATATACATCATATGAACTGTACCATTTATGAAACATTTTATAAATGTTCTGAAGCATTTTATAATTATACTCTTTCATTTTCAGCATATGGAAGTATGGGGGGGGGGGGTAATACAGGATGGTTTGAGAGGGATCCAAGAGGGGTTGCGTGGTGCCAACTTGTGCAGTTACGTGTCAAGTAGCACTGAAACAAAACATATATATTTTCGTTGTATATCAATTTTATTACAAATATTAAAAAATATGTCCTTCTACATAATAAAAGAAAAAACGTCATGTCATCTAACTATACTCTTCTACATACTACATGTACTATAACTTCTACTTTCTGACAATATAATAATATTTTTGTCTTTTGTCGGCACCCATACATTTATACTGCAAAAATTGTATCTGTATTTTGTAAAGAAATGACAGAAATACGTTTTTATAACTGCATGATTTTAAACTAACTATAAATACAACTGACTAGCTACCCAATTATAAGATGACATGTTTATGAGCCTATATTAGTAAGTTATTATATATGTTATAAAAGTATTCATAATAAACTAACTTATAGATGTTTTACATGTACATTACACAAAGATTGACTAGTTTCCATATTATCACATAGAATGTTAAACAACTGCTCTATTTATAAAAGTATTTACATGTATATTCAGATGATAAACACCTAGCTACCACTAAGAACTATATGACATAAAATATTCTTTACAAAAGTGTTTATGAATGTATTCCCACTGAATATTACACACCCTTTATAAAAAATATGTTGTTGAAACACTTTACATAATAAGCAAAAATGGCCACAGAGTAATTTGTATGAAAGCAGCAACTACATCCATATTTCAAAATGTATATGAAAAATTACTGTTCATCCATACTTCAAATTATATGAAAATCTACATCCATATTTCAGAATCTATATGAAATACTGCATCCATATTTCAGAATCTTTATGAAAAACTACATCCATATTTCAAAATGTATATGAAAAACGACATCCCTATTTTAAAATGTATATGAGAAACTATATTCCAAAATGTATATGAAAACTACATCCAAATTTCAGGTATTATTTTGGAATTTTGTTTGTGTTTAACTGATGTTTGGATTATTGTATTTTGATGTTTTACTGTGACATGTTAAAAAAATAGCTACTAAAATGGAGAACAGGTGCAACATTACATATAAATCATGTAAATGAGACCAGGCACCAACACAGAAAATGTCATTACCAATTTGTAGCAGACTCTGAGGCCAAGGGCAAACTATCTAACAACTCCAAAAGTTGGAGGCAGATCATTTCACTGGTTTAATAAACCATAATTTCTTTCTGTGTCCCTTGGTTTTGGCCTATCAGAGAATGGGCCCCTTAAACGTTTATATTTTGGATCCCTCAACATAGAGGTTTTCTCATCCAGTTTTCTTATTATATTGTTCAGTCTGTTTGAACGCCATCGTGGTGCACGACTTGTGATTGTTTTGGTACCTTCATCTAATTCCTCATCAGATAACAGATCATTAGTGACGCGACTCCACATTTCCCTCTCTTCATCAGTGAGGTATTTAATCCCCGAGGATCTCCAGGTTCTTGTCTGAAAATCAAAAGCATGAAATGAAAAAAATTATACTGAATCAACTGATCTTAGTCTTATATTGGATTTAATCTTAGATTGGATAAATATTATGTATGATACATAATAAAAACTGTACCAGCAACATAAGAATTCAGCCTGCAAATTTTTTTTACATGGCCTAGCATTTTTGAAAAATGGCTGCAGAATTAAGTATTTATTCTTAAGAAGAAAGATGGTCCCTAATTTTATGATTAAGAGAAAATCTGAGTAATATTTACAACTGTACTTTTATCATCAACTATCATTTTCTTAATTCTTACATGTTGTTTTCTTGATATGATGTTTCTCTTTGCCTTTTCTTCAGGAGTTATCACCTTTCCTCTCCTCTTACAATTTATGAATTCTCTTGATATTGCCACTGAAAACACAAATATATGAACTATTAAATTAGGCAAATGAAAATACATGTGTAATCATTATATTCAAGCAAATGGACAGAAAGTAAATTGTTAAGGGAATTCATTTCAGCATTTTTTGTGATTTGTCTTTGACCTATGACTGCTGACCTATACCGGCGATTACTAGAGTGCTGCTAACTCGATAAAAGGCTGGCGCTGGCTAGAATTGTCTGTGAAGAACTGCTCTACCTTAGTGACTAATATGTCATGATATGACATCTAAAGAGTCAATAAAAGATATATATATATATACTGTACATTTTAAATAAAGAATTGCTTACATTCAATATCTGTGATGGACATTTTCTGAGTTGGTCCCATCATTGCATTCTGCTCAAGTGCGCGCTTCCTCAAATCTCCTATAACTTTGCTATTGTGAGGACTATTCTTGCTGTAAAATAAAAAAATAAAAATTATAATTCAGTGAGTTGCACCATTTGCTCATAAAAACATACACAAGGATTAAAGCTTATTGCCCAATGATACTACATTACTGCCCCAGGAGGATCATACATTACTGCCCAATGATCATACCTTAATGCCCAATCATCATACTTAACTTTAGTGATAGTATGATGATTTAAAGCTACTTAGACTGTCACGCAAATTTTCAATTAGGAAAACATTTCTTGACTGACTCTCTGAGGTGACCAGTAAAAATAAGAGGGATGTTGTGTGCCATCATTAGTGATGTCATCTTTATTTCAGCAGTCCTGACCTGTGTTTTGTGTCTCACAATGGTCAGACATATATAATTTTCATTAACTGGTCCGTTGAAAACACTATGAAGCCCAATATGCGATCCACTTTTGTGAAGAACCACTCAACGTCAAGGTTCAAAGCCCATTCATTTGCAATGCAGACATTTTACCCACTCTCGATTGCATTTGTGGGAGAAGAGATTGCAAATATGGTACAAAGTTCCTCTTTCTGCAGCACTTCTCTCCTTGTACAAGAAATTCATTGTGTCTTATTGAAAATAAGAACATGAAATTGTATGAATTCAAATGGGTTGTGCTCGTTTTCACTTGTAGCCAATAAGACGTTCATAGCTTGATGTTTTATACACTCTTGCAATGTGTCATTTTCCTCCTAAATTAATATCAACGAAATTACTTGCAGATCTTATTAAAAGTGCAGCATCCAGGAGTGATTACATTATGGCAATAATGTGTTGATCTACTGAGTAGCTACATGTAGGTCTCACCTGTAAGAGGGTACATCTTTTATGAAATTCCTGGGGGCAGGGGTTGGCTAGACATCTTGGGCTCACTGTTAACAACTACCTAAAATGCAGTATTTCATACGTAGCCTAGTACTTCAAACAATTGGCAAGTATTAACCATGAGTCTTATCTACATCTACATCAATAATCTGCAAAAGGCTAATATAAGCTGATTTAAAGCAGATGTATATTTTTAACAGTGATAGAATGTGAACTGAATATAATTTAAACCTTAACATTTAAAAGGAAACCCACTGGTTGGCCCAGATCTAGTTTTGGTTTGTCTCTCTTTAAGCTTGAGATATCTCTCACCACATCGGATGGCTCTTGAAACTTCAGTTTGCTGGCTTATACAAATCAAAACAATCATACATGTAATGAGGTAAAAACGCTAATACTCGTGAGTATTGTTTTTGTTTACCCCCAAGCAGAGTGAATACAACAAACAGTTACATAAAGTAGAACCTATGTAAGTGGAACAGCCTTGGGTCCACAAAGTGCTAAGTTTTCCACTTTGGGAGGCTCATTTACAGGAATTTATATATCAGTTCCAGTGTTCCACTTGGCAGGTTCTGCTGTATTATACATTATACATCTTATTAAGTTAATTAAGTTAATTAAAGGGATGCTAAATGGATGTGCAAATATTACTATGTTGCGAGCAGATACTCCATACTCGCTATTCGTTTGTAGTCTTAAAGGTTTTAACAGTCTCATGAAATACCACACATTTTTGATAAGGTAAGAATTCAAGACAAATATTTAATACAAAACTTACAAAACCAAATCATGAATTTCCTGGATAAACTCATCTATATCCAAAACGTTGCCATTTTGCCATCTTTTGATACATGCATTCAGTGATTCCTGGAAATTTGTACAGTATGGCGTTGATGCATCTGGCACAACACATCTATGGGGCTGAAATGTACAATATGATCCTTTAGGACTGTGATCTTAGTACTTCTTGGCACCAAAATACCTGGTTTTTCCCATTTTAGAGTTTTCTAACATTGCTGGATAAGTAACATTTGTTGAAAATCTAGTATCTGGACAAACTAACACTAGACTAACACCTTCATAATTTAATTTGTGTCAATCTACCCAACAAATAGATCAAGGAAGCTGCCATTGATGTCACATCCCTGTTCCTATCTTCCGCCTGTCGTCACTGTGGGAGGGATGGAAGCCCTAGTCTCCCTTGAATGTGTTGCATCCCTTTGACGGGAATCAGCACATCTCTCTCTGTGGGGCTCGCCCTTGAGAAGGGGGAGGCACTGTGCCTATGGGAGGACCTGTCTCTTCGCGAAAAGCGGCCATGTTGATACCTTTGACGGTAGTAGGGTATGACATCTGAAGATCTTGAATTCTTTGTATTTACCATCTGTTGGTACAGCCCTCTATCACAGTTTACTATTGTCTGATGCATCTTATTCTTATTTGAAATATTTTTTATGATTAAGAGTTCAGGAGACCCCAAAAGACCTTACGAAAATGGCTAGTGTAACCATCATTTAAGGTAGAGCTTCAAGACCTAGCCTTCCCATATCAAAAAATCATTTTCATTGATAAGACCTTTTCATGATAAATCGGCAAACAGTTGCTAAAGTCAAGAACAGGGAAAACCCTCAACAAGTAAATACAACAACAGTGGATGTGAATAAGATTGAAAATCCATTGAAAATTTGCATTTATTGCTGTTAAATTATGTCTGCATTTGAAAGGAAATGTACATAGATGAGTTTGTCTTCTATCTGGTTATTTGTTCCAATTTAGAATATCTCACATCTTATCAGTGTTTGAACCATTTAAAGCACCTATTGGCTTCCGTGTAAGTAATCAACATACCTACTCAACTGAAAGAGTAGTGATACTTATATCAAGTAATAATTTAATTTTATGTTGGTACTTACATTACAGGAATCTTATAATTCCCTTGTATTTTATGATCAAAGATAGATCTGTATGGGAATATTATCTTATTTATAGAAAATGTTATCAATTTGATCAGATGTTAAGAATAACTGATACACTTTTTTGCAATCAGGGATTTTTTCATGTCAGACGTTTGGTAAATCATTATTTAATTTTGCGTGAGATTGCCGTATCCGATATGTATAAATATTACATCGATGACCTAAATCAGACTGCACCCATTGTCCATCTCTCAGGTCTCCTCAGATACAAGGAGTAAAAAATGAATTGTACATACCTTCTGTTGACTTGAATTCCTAAACAATTGTAATGGGGTTTTTCTATCCACAATTCTTACACAACGACCTACCTGCCGCCAATAATCAAGGACTGACCTAGGAACACCAAAATTCACAACAAGATCAACATCTGGAATATCAACCCCAAGACCAAAAGCAATTGTGCAAACCATGACCCTTATCGAACTACCAACCACCCGAAACTTTTCCAACATGGCCTCCTCCAACATGGCCTCCTCCAACATGGCCTCCTCCATTGAACTTGAACTTCTACCATGATAAACACCAATCCTCCTGTTATCAAAAGACATTGAACCTCCAAAAGCATCTCCTTTCAACCCTAGCATCAAATACTCAAAAACATCACTAACTCCTGACACAGTTGGACAAAAAATAATGACCTTCCTTGACCTACAACCTCTCTAACCTCATCTACCAAGAAATCAAGACATTCCAACCCATCATCATGAACCTTCAGTGACCAATCCAAGAAAATGCTCGATCTATCTGGAACCTGACTTACAGAAACATAAGATGAAATTGAAAGGTTTGAAATCGTTGAAACCAACAGATCCTCAGTGAAAGTAGCAAACAGAATAACCCAAGGGACGTCCTTGTAAGCTCTACATTTTCCCAAAGTAGCGTACTCCAGCCTGAAGGTTTCTGTTCCCCTGAAAATAGAAAGAACTTAATTATGACCTAAATGATGATACTATACTGATACTAGGGCTGTAGGGTGATCTATTTTAAAGTATGTGATAACTGAAGTAAAATACAAGGTTGAGATCAATATTTGCAAAATCAGGCAAATGATTCATTCATGGAATGAAGCGTGAAACTTCCAACATATTAGAAAACCATTTCCATGGATAAAAGAACAAGAGCCATCTTTGTGGTCTACTAGAATGACTGAAAAACTTTAATATTCCCTCTAAAATCAGGGGCAGAGGGGAATATATTTAAGGTGGATCATTTTTTTAACTTTTTCTCAAATCTTAGTGCCTCACCTGTCAAATCCCGATTTATTTGTCAAAATTCCAATATTGAAAGAATCCCGACTTAAGGATATATCCAGATTTTTTGTAAAATAGCCTGATTTGAAGAAAATATTCCAATTTTTCGTAAATCATTCTGATTTCTTTCATAAAATATCCTGATTTTGTGTTATTAACTGTATTCTTTGACATCATGTATAACACGAGCATGAATTCAAGCTTTATCAGAGATAATTGATTGTGTGAGGACTAGGTGTAGATTACATACTTAATTCGGATATTTAAGAGCAGGGTCAGCTACTCTCTATATTTAGACGACTCAGCCTATTTTGTAGTATGTTATTACAAAATATTGAATAAGCAATTTGGAGAAACATTGGAATAGGTAGGGTATGCTAGAAGGAAATATAATCATTTTCTTCTTAGAGTAGCGAGTGGGTAGCACAGGAAAATTTTACTAATTTAAGATGCTGTCTGGTTAATTCTGAACATTTTTTATGTGTTTGAGTAAATAAATGCTTTAGTTTTTGGGATGCGGTGTCAGAATTATTTATGGTTTCATGATGTCACTTGGTGATTTCTGGGCACTTTTAAAGTGTTTGAAATTAACAAATGCAACTTCTAAACATTCCCAATTGTTTTGTTGGGGGTGTGAGTGCCCCTCCCCCCCCCTAGAAAATTTTACACTTTTGAGATGCTATTTGGTGCTTTCTGGGCACTTTCAAAGTGTATGAGTCACAGAAACATTGACCATTTCAAGGTGCTATTTGATGATGTAAAAATATTTTTTTTTAACATATTGTAACAGTTAGGCCTTTTTGTGGATATTATGGTAGTGTGGACAAATAGACCTCTGTATACCTTGTGGGTTACGTGACACACGTTAAATGTGTTTGCACCAAAGATTCAACAGAACATTCAATTATATTTATTACACAACAAACGATATATTGTGGCGTCTGTAGGCCCAAAATTGTGTACATCAAATAGCAAAATGTCCTAAATGTAATAAACTGGAATAGAACCAATGTTCGTTGTTGTTGTTGTTGTTGTTGTTATTATTATTCACTGTAAGTCCAAACATATAAGCATCAATTGTGGGATTGGATTGAAGTCACACAAAGTTCACTGTACTCAGGCTGAAGCCAAGCGATGACTGGAACACTGGAATCTGTCTAGTTGGTATTGGAGCAGATTGATCATTAGATTCTTCGTCTGTAGTGGTAATGCAAACACGAGTGCAAATTACAAACATCAAACAAAGGAGTACAAACGATATGCTGCCCACAATCAAAGCGATGAAAAGAACATCCAGTTCCATACAAGGACCAGTATCTTGTCTCGTGCAGGTAGCCTCCTCTGGGTAAGTCCAGTGTATCCTCTTCTCCTTCAGGTAGCCTCCTCCGGCTAATTCTAGTGGATCCTCTTCTCCCTCAGGTAGCCTCCTCCGGCTAAGTCCAGTGGATCCTCTTCTCCCTCAGGTAGCCTCCTCCGGCTAAGTCCAATGGATCCTCTTCTCCCTCAGGTAGCCTCCTCCGGCTAAGTCCAATGGATCCTCTTCTCCCTCAGGTAGCCTCCTCCGGCTAAGTCCAATGGATCACCTTCCTCAGGAAGTCCGTTCGACAGTCGCTGAAATAAAGACCCAGCCTCAGTGAGTCCGTTCGACAAAGTCAACTGGAACGTCTTCTCCCTCAGGTAGCCTCCTCCGGCTAAGTCCAATGGATCCTCTTCTCCCTCAGGTAGCCTCCTCCGGCTAAGTCCAATGGATCACCTTCCTCAGGAAGTCCGTTCGACAGTCGCTGAAATAAAGACTCAGCTCAGTGAGTCCGTTCGACAAAGTCAACTGGAACGTCTTCTCCCTCAGGTAGCCTCCTCCGGCTAAGTCCAATGGATCCTCTTCTCCCTCAGGTAGCCTCCTCCGGCTAAGTCCAGTGGATCCTCTTCTCCCTCAGGTAGCCTCCTCCGGCTAAGTCCAATAGATCCTCTTCTCCCTCAGGTAGCCTCCTCCGGCTAAGTCCAATGGATCCTCTTCTCCCTCAGGTAGCCTCTTCCGGCTAAGTCCAGTGGATCCTCTTCTCCCTCAGGTAGCCTCCTCCGGATAAGTCCAATGGATCACCTTCCTCAGGAAGTCCGTTCGACAAAGTCAACTGGAACGTCTCCCTCAGGTAGCCTCTTCCGGTGAAGTCCAATGGATCCTCTTCTCCCTCAGGTAGCCTCCTCCGGCTAAGTCCAATGGATCCTCTTCTCCCTCAGGTAGCCTCTTCAGCTAAGTCCAATGGATCCTCTTCTCCCTCAGGTAGCCTCCGGCTAAGTCCAATGGATCCTCTTCTCCCTCAGGTAGCCTCTTCAGCTAAGTCCAATGGATCGTCTTCTCCCTCAGGTAGCCTCCTCTGGCTAAGTCCAGTGGATCCTCTTCTCCCACAGGTAGTCTCTTCCGGCTAAGTCCAATGGATCACCTTCCTCAGGAAGTCCGTTCGACAGTCGCTGAAATAAAGACCCAGCCTCAGTGAGTCCGTTCGACAAAGTCAACTGGAACGTCTTCAGTGAGGAAGTTTCACAATAAATTATCTAAGTCAAACTTCAAATAGAACAAAGTCGAAGAATATTTCAAAGTGTGAGTAAGAAATATTCTAAGTCCAAGTTAGTATAAACGACTAAAATGTATAAGTCCAACTCCAGGTAGATGTACCACAGAACAAAGTCAAAGAATATTTCGAAGTGCCAGTAAGAAATGTTCTAAGTCCAAGTTAGCATCCACAGCAAAATATACAAGTCCAACTTCAGGTAGATGTATCACGAAACAAAGTCAAAGAATATTTCAAATTATGAAAATATTCCAAGTCCAAGTTATCATCTACAGATAAAATGCATAAGTCCAACTAGGTAGATGTACCACGAAACAAAGTCAAAGAATATTTCAAAGTATGAAAATATTCCAAGTCCAAGTTATCATCTACAGATAAAATGCATAAGTCCAACAAAATTGATTTTGTCCAAGTTTAACCTCAAGTAGATTCGTCTACAGCCAGGTACATGTGAACAGAAACAAAGTCAAAGAATATTCCCAAGTGCCAGTCAGAAATATTCTAAGTCGAAGTTATCATGTACAGAAAATGTCAAAGTCCAACAAAATCAAAATTGTCAGAAATCACAAAATATTTCGAACGGAGCTCTGTCCTAGTCAAAAGCTTGCTGTAATCTGCCGAGTTTACATCGGCGAAATACTTTTATAGGCTTGGTGACGTCATCACTTTTCGAACAAGATTTCAAAGCTAAATAACAAGTTATTGACGCCATATCCCGGTTTAATATTGCTCACACAAGAAGATAATAATTGGAACTTAATAAATCTAACAGTAATTGATCGCTACTTACTCTAGTTTTACTTCGGTTCGATAGAATAAGAAGCAGGAAGTAAATTCCAAAAAGTGACCTCCATTTAAAGTACCCGATCGACTACCCGATCAACATTAATTAAATCCCAATTCGATGACATGAAAACGCTATTTCACCCATGTAACTATAACTTAAGTACTGCAAACATTGCTACAATTTAAGATCTTAATGATCTCACATGTGAACCACAAATCAAGTGTAATAAATGTACAATAGCGAGTAAACAGCACTAAATCAAAAATAAAAAATTCAAAATTTTGTTACAATATTTACAATTGAAAAACATTCAGGCATTTTGAACATATAACAAATGGGATACCCCCTCCCATTAAAAAATATCTATGCAAATTATTAAATTTTTGAAACAGTTCTTGACATGTTGTTATTGAGTTTAGAACTGTACAGCACTTGCAGCTCCACCCTTATCTAAACCTTGACATGTGCCCATCATCTGAATCCATCCAGCAAGAATCCATCTGAATTTAAAATGTAATCAAATTGAAACAAAAAAGACCAGGTAAAACAATATGTTTAAATAGGACAAATGAAGTCGCGACTGCATCTGATAATGGAATTAGAAAGCTGAATGTCAAATGCTGACACAACACCAGTCAAAAATGCTGACACAACACCAGTCAAAAATGCTGACTATAGCAATATAGTGTCATCACTTCAAGTACATGTACACTGTATAAAAACTAACATTAGTTTTACTGAAATAAAGTGTGCACTTAACGGATTTTTAGAAAATAGAATATTCCTGGCTTATGTCATTCCTTTCAATGTCTAAAATTGAAACAATTTTTTGTTCGGCTGCTCGCTAGATCTGATTCTCTCTTTTATTATTTTACAGATAACATTACTTACTGAGCATAATGCTTTGGTCATTTCATAGGTAAAGCCTTTAATGCCTGTACTCTTTAAGTCCATCAAAGTGTTTGTCATTTTTTTTCTAT